TTGTGTTAGTTAAAAAAAAAAAAAAAAAAAAAAAAAAAAAAAAAGGGGAAAATTAAGTATCTTAATCGATTAAGCACATCATACTTCCAACAACTCACTTTTCTTCTTCTTTGACAGAGCCCCTCCAATGTGCTTGCTCTTACTCTTAACCATGACCTGCGACTTGCTGTTGATGTAAAGGGACACTTTTTTCCTGTGCAAAGCTCCTGCGATCAGATTCAAATTAATCAGTCGGAAGAAAGTTGAAGAAAGCATCAAGGCTATACTGGTGTTGTACCATTTCTGCTTCTCTTGAGAAGAACGCCTTCCTTGCACCAGATATCCGGGCTGACACAGGAAGATCCCCTCTCGTATGGTCTCACTGCAGCTGCATTGCTTCTAATTGCTTCTCTCTGCACTCTCTGTTTCAGCGCCCCAACACCTCTCAATGCTGATGGATAAGCAGCATTCACACAATGAACATACAATCATCAACTGTTTCATTCAAATTTCAAATACAGACCTGTGGCCGCAGCCGCCGTCAGTGTCACAAGATCGCCGACGGTGTGGATATCTACCGCCGATTTAACAGCGTCGTCAACCTGCTTGTCCCTCGCGCCGGCCATCTCCGCCATCTCCACACAATGTAAGGCGAGCAGCTCGGTAGCAGAAGCCAGCGCGGAGCTCATCTTCGATCCGGGGTTTTCCGATCTCATCCCGGCAGCTTTGGCCGCCACTGCTGCAGCAACCTTGGCCACCGAAACGGCCGCATGGATCCTCGCCCTTGCCATCCTCATCTTCTTCTTGCTCCTCGGCTTTTCCTCACGCAGCTCCCCTTGCCCAAACCATTTGCCTATGGCGGCTTCGTTACCCTGCGCATCAGATCAGCAGGGTCGGTTAGGTTTTAGAGATCAAGATGTTAAGATTACGGATGAATGTTTGCTAACGCGGTGGATGTCGGCTAGATATTTAGGGTTGTTGTTGCCGGCGAGGAGGGCGCGGGAGATCTCCAAGGCAGAGAGGCTCCATGAGCGGGAGAGGAACTCCATGGGTTCAGCGGGGGTCTGCGGAGGTGGAATCGCCTGCAGGCTGACGGCGGTATCGATTTCATCCTCTTTAACCCGCACTAATTGAGCTCGCCTTCCACCGACTTTCTCCGAGCAGAAAAAAGGAAGTTCTCTCCTTTTCTTTTCTATAATGAAATGCGCTTTCTCCATTTGCGGGCCGGTGCGGTGGCTGATAGTTTGCTGGCTATTTATAGCGAGGGAGAAAGAGGAACAGGGAGCGCAGGCTTAGAGGAGCACGAGGAGGGAGAGTGGGGCGGAGAGGGGACAGGGAGCGGACAGCCTCGCGCCTGCTGCATGCATTGTTGGTTTAGGGTAAGCTTAGGGGAGCGGAGCTAGGCTGATTGTTTCTGTTATGGCCTACAGTTTGTGGATTGAAGTTCGTTTTTCATGGCGGATTACAATATTGCATGGGAAATGAAACGGCAGCAAACGAGGAAAAAATGTTAATTATTGCAGGGGAGATGGATGTGAATTCGATGTAGGATAATATTGTGTGCATGTATAATTTTGGGTACATTTTCTTTTTAAGGAGCACAAAAGACTCCAATTTTATTATCACTAAAAAAAAAATATAAAATTAGGAATAGAATCCTAACCTATACCCTATACAACTCACACAAAGAAAAGAAAAAGGGTTCCTATCCCAGAAAAAAGAAAAATACAACTCACACCATACCCAAACCCCAACAAAAAAGAAAATTAAGATAAATCCTTAACAGCCAAGTCTAACAAATCATCAGGAAATTTAAAAAAAGACTTGAGCATTCGAACAATTGTACCAAAATTTAGCAGTCCAATGAGCCATAGAATTTCCTTCTCTTCGAACATGAGACCAAATCACATTCAAGTTTGCAGTTAAAGCTTTAATTCTCTTCAACTGAATCAAGATACTCCAATGTGCTTCCATAGCATGCCTGCAACACTTCCAAAGGATCAGAGAATCCATTTCAATAATGACGTTATAAATACCTAGCCTCTTTGCAACCATAAGTCCAAAGACTACCGCATCAACTTCAACAGTTAAAGGAGAACAAGGCACATATTTAGCTGCAAACCAACAAACAATGGAACCAACAAAATCAAGAGATGCCTTTGCTTGAATCAAAACTACTCATTTAACTCACATCCTTCTGCTCCTGACCATTTATGCTCAGCACACACACACTCTCTCCATGACAGATTCTCAGAGCGACGACAGAGATAGCTCTGTTTGGGGCAGCTTCAACTTCTCAGCTTTTTAGCTGCAGCTTAACTGCCCCGGGAAGCTGCTGCGGGGAAGCTGATTGGTTGTTTGTTGCAGCTGTGTCAAAACAGTTGAGTGGCAGCTGTTTTTAGACAAATGACCATTCTGTCCCTGTTTAGTATTACAGTTTGTAACAGCACCGTGACTGCCATATATTTGATACTTCAAAAGCAGAAATTCACTTCAAAATAGTACAATGGAGTGAAGAGACTTAAAATAACTAACACAAGGAAACTTGATTTATAATATTTGCAGATGACCTAATTTGATAGGCAATACATCTTTTGAAGTAAATAAATAGAAAAATATCAAAATAATAGGAGCTTAGAACTAATGAAATAAACAACAAGTACATGATACATGAGCATATACAAAGTTATGCAAATATCAATCATTAATGATGGAAAATCAAGTGAAACTTAAACATTCTAGGATTAAGCTCATGATATAATATTGCATAACCTAAAATTACTTATATCAACCTTTTTGTATCATAAACAAAAACCAGGGCATGCTTCTAAGTATGGGCAATATCCATGATGCAATTTGAAATTTAAAACAAAATCCAAACTACGCAAAAGAACAAGCAATATCATAGTTATACAGTTCTACCATTTATACATGCTTAGAACTAAATAATTTGATAGCAAAATCTTATAGTATTATATATATTTGTCTCGTTCTCAAAAACCAATAAGCTGTAAAATAACCATATGATGACATAAGAATGGAGCTACTAGCATGGATGGGAAATCCATCCAAACTTCCCAAGAGAATGTTGATCCTCAGAATGTTCATAATCAGACGTTAAATTGTAAATTAAGTATAGATTACAACTAACTAAAGACAATGCTAAATATTACAATTTAATAGAAATAATAAATCAAAATGAAATGCAATAGCAAGATGTTTCATAGAGTTACATGAGGATAATTTTAGCTACATGTTTTACCATTATTGATAATATGAACGCCATGAATTCTTGTTTCAGTTTCCAACTGAGAAGATTCACTGCCTCGTCGATCAAGAACAAAGCTCGCTATTCTATATAAATCATCGTTAGGAACACTCATCTCAATTGGAATACCACCATCTCCTTCATCTCTAATAGTTAAATCTAAAATACCCTTGTTGTACTCACCTTCAAAAGGAGCATTCAAGTTACACAAGATTGACTCATCTACATGGCTATTATCCAAATAAACAGCTTATCATAAAATGCGGAGAGCGGGTGGCCCACGGGGTTCGACCCGCGGTTTGCGTTTAGTGTAAAAACCCAATCTCATTTTCAGATAAGCTTATGAAACGTGTTTTCCAAACAAAGTTTTCCTCACCAGGCCCTTCGTATATTAGAAGACGAGGAGGTGATGACGACTAAGGTTAATTCATGTGGTGGACGCTGCGACCCCAACCCCATCCCAAATAGGTGAAAGACGGACCCGGAGAGAAAGGAGGGGATGGGGTGATTTCGATGTAGTCCGTCACATTAAAGCCTCTTATTGAATATCCGACCAACCATAGCTCCCCACCGAATTCAATGCTCACGCAAACGAGCTCCTCTCGTGAAGCTCCCGCCGCTCCTCCACCCGCTCCACCAGCGAATCCCCTACACTAGCTCCTCCCGCGAAGCTCCCGCCGTTCCTGCACCCGAATAACGTTGGAATGATTCCTTTCAGTGTACTAAATCCTGCTAACTAAATTTTAATCTGTTGTCATACAATATTGAAATGATTTAAGGAATTTCTTCACTTCTTTTTCGTAAAGGGTTTCGGGAATTTGGTGGACTAGAATTTGGTGAAGTTCTAGTATTTAGGTTCATATTCTTACATTTGCATGTTTGAAGAAAAAAATTGGAATATTTATATACATACTGCTCAATTCCTATATATTTACCTATCTAACACCTATAATTCAATTTATACATACATATATATTCTAGTCTGTTTAGCAGTTTAAAAGATACACCATCCCATAGATGCATTCTAGTTGCAATTTATGAGTTCTCAAAAAAATAAAGATGTATGGAGTTAGTAAAAAATGTACATTGGATATTTTGTAGTTTTATGTTTGTAAATGCCTCAAAAAAATGATATGACGTGCAACATATCTCTAATCATGTTAAATAATAATGGCCAAGAAATATAATTATGTAGAATTCAATGGCCTTCCTTGTAAGAATTTTTTGCCAAGACATATGCTTAGACTAAAACATATGAAATGAGCTTTAACTTTTTGTTGGGAACACAAGTAACAGCTGTAGTATACATATCTCTAATGACTTTGTAAGTCATATCAACACCTAATGCCCCTGCCTAACAAAAGGCCGTTGCATTTGCTGTTAGAGATTGTGTTGTGAGATATGTACTTCCTGGCATTGAAATGAGACGAAAAAGAACACAAGCAAACACAGATCGTTTACGTGGTTCGATCCAACTGGATCTACGTCCACGGGAGGGAATCAATCAAATATTTCACTAAGGCAAAAGAAATGGAGAATACATAGCTTATACATAGAGATGAGCCCTCATCTTCCTTATATGGCCTCCCTCTCAAGCGACACCTTGATACAAGGCCTCAAGATGCTCTCCTCCTCTAACTCTATAGCTATTCTCTCCTCCTTTGTGGTAGCTTAAGATCTCTTCTCCCTTTCCTCTC